AAAGAAAGTTCAGTTAAAAAAAATAAATAACTCTATCTCCCTCTCTCTTCTCTTTCCCCGTGTCTAAACTAGTATGATGTGAAGCCCCTGCTACCTTGGCAGATGTTCTGTGTGAAGCTAGTATCATAGCAGCTATGTATGGATAGGGAGAAGTTTCATAACAACATGGAGCTATTAGACCTCTGTTTTATATGAGTATTTAATATTTCATATCTTAATCCAAATGATACTTGCTTTTACTATGGTCCTTGAACCTGTAAAGGAAATAACCATGCACAGTAAGTCACAGTATTGTCAGCATATATAAATAATATTCTCTTATTAGAAGTTTCTACCATTTCTCCTAAAGTAAGGGATTGATATATGTCAATTCTAGGTCAAATAGCAATTTTCTTTTTTTTTCTAATATTTCTCCCTCCAAAGTTTTAATATTAAGAAGACTTTCCTTTTATAATTTTTTTTTAATAGAGGTACTGGGGATTGAACTCATGACCTTGTGCATGCTAAGCTATACCCTCCCCCACTAGATAGCAGTTGTCTCTCACAGGAGCAGGCTTTCTGAATGCACAGGGATGGCATTTCTAGATACCTGCATAGACAGGCATAGTGACATTAAACACCTTAATAGTAGCGACACAATGACAATATAGTATCAGCATGAATTTGGCATTGAATGAACTTGGCATTGACTTTCTATTATTATGTAACATTATCATAAAGCAACACAGTAAGGCTAGGATATAACTATGGATAAGATTCTAATTTGAGAATCAAAGTGGTTTATTGGTTTAGCTTTGTATTTGGACACCCATAAACATATCAATGCTCTTTTATTTATAATAAAATATACTTTTATAATGATGGACAGAAGAAATTATGAATACTTACTGTTCAGAAGTTATTCTGCATTAGAATGAATTCAGGATAGTTGCCCATTGAAAATCTGATAGCAGAGTGCATAGACAGTCAACTGTTGTGAAAAGTACATGGCTTTGGAGCCAGCCAGGTCTTTGTTCAAATTCCAGGACTACGACTCATTAGCTATGTCTGCCTTTTGGTGTGCTACATAACATCTCTCCCCATGTGTGCATTTCAGATAAAATACCCACCCTCTTTTATATGTATTGAGATTTGTGCAAATTACTTAATATAGTTCCTGATATACTAGATGCTCAATAAATAGCAAATACTATGATCTATTGTTTAATATCTATTTAATATGTTGTTTCTTCCCCCCATGTTATACATCTTTTTGTTTTGCTACATATCACTTTACTAGATACTAAGCCTGATTGTGGGCCATAACTTACAAATCTTTTTTTGAAATAAAATATTTTCAACATCTATTGACTATATCATTCTTCTGATCTTTGATTTTCACCATTTAATTTTAAAATACCTATGTATTTTCTTTTTGTTGCAAGGAAATTGCATTCATTTTTGAAAATATATCCAATTTACACCAGATAATATAAAATTTTTGAACATTGTATATTTGTCATGAAAGCATTTTAAAAAATTTTTACATACAGAAAGTGTATTCAAAATGAATCATTATTTTGTATATGTTATATTTATAAAGACTATGGGCAATTTTAAATTGTCATGGTAGAAATATATTTTAGGGAAAGTTTTATATAAAGCTGTGGTAGATTTTTTTTTAAATACACTGGCAACAATTTGTAGTAACATATGCTGCCATGAGCAATCTCCTGAGAAATAAATCATTCATACAGTTTATGGAGGATCAGATGAACATTACTAACCATTTCTGCTCATTGTGTCCACTTCACCAAAAATTCCTACTCAGAAAGTGCTGATGGACTTGAAAATATATTATCTACTTCTACAGAGCAGAAAGAAAATTCTCACTTTGTTCTTGGGTGGTGTTTCAAAACAACAGACCGTGCCTCCAAAGGACAGACATGACGATGTTGGTGATGAGAATACAGAACCATTGCTGTCTATGTACTGGGCAGATAAACTTATCTTTATTGCATTTAAGACCATTAAATGGGCACTATTATCATTCCCACTTTTATAGACGAGGAAACTGAGGCTTTCACAAAGCTTGTGGTTTGTCTTGTAAAACCAAGACAGTATGACTTCAAAACCTGAACTCTGTTCTTCCCAAGGACTCAAGATTCCTGTACCACACACTTACTAAGCACCTCCCATGTGCCAGCCATTCAGGATAAAATAGGGAGCAAAGTTAGTCATTGACTCTGGTTTAGTGGAAGGGGAATAGATACAATAATAACCTGACCATACAAATAAATGTATAAATTATAAATTGTAATCAGTACTTGGATGGAGAGTTACATAGGACCATGAGAACAGATAAACAGAGAACCCAATCTAGTTAATTCAACATGGCATCCCTGAGGAAGGGGCAATTGGGCTGAGATCTAAAGAGTAAGCAGAGGTGAGCTAGTCAAGGAGTTGGGGAGAAACTTACTAGGCCAAGAAAGGCATCTTAAGAGGAACTCATGACAGGAAGGAGATGATTTACTCAGTCATTTAAAGGAGGCCATTTTGGCTAGAAGATGGGGGATGTGAGGGAGCCATTGGGAGGACCATAGGGGAATTGAAGAGACTATAATAAAAATTTTAGAATCAGAAGAGAACTTTGTGTGGTAGTTGGATTTAAAAAAACAATAATCAATAGGGTTTTTTTCGTTAATAGCAATAACCAGTGAGAAACAGCAATGGGAAAGAAATACCATAAGAGAAACGTGATATAAAACACCTAAAAGTACTTTTTTTAAAAATGCCAGGACTCAAGTGAGAAAGATTAAGAAATCTTATTTATAGACATAAAACTAGATCTAAAGAAGTGGAGAGTCATGCCATACTATTGTAAGGAAAATTAATATAATCAGAAAGCCCTTCTTCTGAAATCGATGTATAAATATAATACAACTCTACTAGAATCCCCATGTGGGTTTCTTTAGAAGCAGAAAAATGATTTTAAAGTCTGTATGAAATATAAATGCTTAAGAATATCATCAAGATAGTTCTGAAAAAGAATTTCAGTAAGGAGAAACTGCTTTTCCACATACTAATAGTTACTACAAATCAACTGTAATCTTAACAGCATGATGTAGCAACAGTGAAAGACAGAAACATCATTGGAAAAAACAGAGTTCAGAAGTATGTGTGAAAGCTTAGTGTATTTTGAAAAAGTAAAGACCCACTGGGAAAATCCTTATTTTTAAGACTCTAAAAACTTGTTATTAGAGACATACAATGTTTTATGATTTTTAGAATGTATTATTAACCTTATATTATTTCCTATGTACATATCTTTGTAATGTATTTAAACCTTAAATTTATCATTAATTATAATAGCTTAGAAATTTTACCTCTCTAGGAAACAGTGTATTTTCAAGTATAGCTCAATGTTTACATGACAGTGCTATTACATTTTTAGTATCTTAAAATGAAATGTGAATGTTAATTTATCAAATTCACCTTTGACCACTGGTTAAAACAACAGATATCAGGGCAAATTTTTAAAGATTTAAGAGGTTAATAGATATTCCTACAGTGACAATCTAGATGCTTATAAAGAGACAGTACATATGTATGTATCCCAAGCAAAGTGAGTAAGATTTGTTGAACATTCTTGAAGAACCGTAAGCTCTGGTATAGGTGAATAACTCATTAGTATTTGCCAGAAGGTTAGTCACGTAAGTACAGGGTCTTCAAAGTAAGAGAATACTTAAAACAGGTCCATCATTCTCAAGGTTATAATGATAAAGTCATACGCAAATGGATTAGATACTCAGTTTCCAGAACTCTACCTTCAGGTCCTTTAAAAAGTTTGCTTATTCATGTTCATTACTGTCTTTATCATTATCCAGTTTATTCATCAATTTTCCAAAGAGCATAGGGGATGATACACAATGTTGTTTCATTTGTGTTTGAAAATTATAACTGCTGGATTATAGCTGTAGGATTTGTGTGGTAATGACAAGAGTAATGTGGTTCCTCGGGACAAAGGAATTTGAAACATGAACAAAGCTTAAACCTGAAAGTGGATACATCAGAAGAGTATCCATAATTTAATATGTATCCTGAATTAATCATAATGAACACTTTTCTTTGATATTAAAGGTGGTTTTACTTCAGCGTCTCTCTGTTTTTTATGCAGGGAAGATGTGAGAACAGCCAACGTAATTGCTGCAGAAGCTGTAACCTGCCTTGTGATTGACAGAGAGTAAGTACCTTGCTTTATTATGCGACTGCACACTCATGTCAGTGACATACATAAGTTCTATGAAGTTACTAATACTTGTTTTATGTCTTTTTATTTGAAATAAGTTCTGTAGTTGATTCTCATTCCCTGTTCTTGTAAGTGGCTGACTCTGCCATTCTAGCTTTCTGATCTTTTAACAAGGTGCTTAAACGGCTGTGAGTCTGACCTTAGCTCATCTGTAAACTGGGGATAATGCAACATCAGAGAGATGTTGTGTGGACTGATGAGAATATGTGAAGAAAGCATGTGTCCAAGTGGTTTTTACCCAGAAGGCATTCAACCAATGCCGTTTGTGTAAAATTTTAGAAAAATAAGAATTATTTAATAGTTTATAAAATTTATAATTTATAATAGTTATAGATTATTATCTACGTATCTACAACATTATTACTATTATTCTTAGGAAATGGACTATTCCTTGAGCATGTTTTAGTTTTCTCCTCTATTCTTTCATCCCCAAATACCTAAAATAGAAGCACTTAGGAAGACACTTTTGGAGAAGGCATCAGTTCTAGACATAGGCATATTTAAGGTCACTATAAGTTTGTTCATCTGTACTTCTATCCCTGTTGCTGGCTTGCTAGTCTCATTACCTGAATGCCTTGTAGGTTAAACTACAAATAGCAGCTTATTGACTCTCCCCAGAGCCTGAGTAAAATGCATATACCCTATCTGCAAGCAGTCTTCCAGACTGTTCCTCAGTGCTGTGTATGTGGAAACATTCATCACAAAAGCCAGGTGCCTGACTGAAGAGAACAACTCCTAAGTACCGACTTTTTAGTGGCGCCATTGGAGCTGGAACAGGTTGTGAGTGTCAGGGTGGAATGAAGCTGAGGGGGCCGATATGATCAGTTCAGAATGCTGGAGTTGAATGTTGAGCTCAGGGAGCTCTGAGCGGAGAGGAATCCCACTTGACTCACAAATCTCACTTTTTCTGCCTGCCCCTCTGTGCTGGATCTTTCTAACCAGGGC